CTCCTGTGCTGCTTTTTTTCATGATGGTAATGGAGCGGATACCGTTGCCATTCTTTAACACCGGCTGTAAGTGGTATTATCGCAATACCGCCCAAGCCTAGCATGAACACTGCTTCGTTTCTTTTGCTTCCATTCAGCTTCACCAGCAACTGTTCCAAATGTAAAATGCTGGTTGTTTTGGGTGACATCCGCTGATGCAATTTCCTCCTGAGAAACAACCAATTAGCGTGAGTTAACCAAAGGTTTCGCTCAGCTGCTCTACCAGGCCTTCCTTAGTACCTACCCCAGCTCAGGAAGTATGTTGGTTCCTGAAAATGGTCCTTTCAGTTGGCCCACTGAAATGGAAATGTGCATGCAAGGTTCTGATACAATTACCCTGAAGTCCCGATAGTGGAAACACGCCTTAAATGAGCCTTTGGACCTTCAGCTCTAGTTGGGGAGCTGAGTGTGAAGCGACTGGCATGAGGAGCAATATCTCTAAGTCCTCATGGTTCTTGACTGAAACGGGGCTGGTCGTCAACTCCAGATTGGGGGAGAGGTCCTACCTCATTATGGGACTTTTACGTATCTCAGGGTTTAGAGTGACTAAAGCAGGTAGATGTAGACGGAGCAGCATCTGTAGTGAAGATATGGATGCTAAACCTGTCTGTTATGGTGAAGATGGAGCTGAGCCAGAAAACAAAGCTCTTGATTTACCAGCTGATCGACATTCCAGCCCTCATCTAATGCCATCTACTTCTGGTCCCGATTATCCTGTCTAACAGCAGACTCCACACAGCTGAGACTTCTCCATTTAAACAGCAAACATGAGCTTCCTCTGCAGCCTTGGAGATGGGTGATGGGCTCGGTCATGAGCCTCGCATGGACTCGCAGAGGAACTGGTCTTTCATTGAGAGGAGCCAGCTGAGATGGTATTTAGTCGGGATGCCTCCTGGAGGAGGTGTTTTGGGGGTGTCCTTCTGACAGGAAGTTTTGTGGTCAACTCAGGACATGCTGGAGGAATTGTATGTTTAAGCTGGTCTGGGAACATCTTGGGATCCAACGTGAGGAGCTGGTCAAAGATGGCGAGATGGAGAGGACGGTCGGGGCGTCACTGCTAAGGCTGTGGATCTGGATAGGCAGACAACAGCGTACGAGGTATCAGGGTAATTACCACTCCAATGACTGGACACATACAACCATGGGGACTTTGCATTATAACACCACTAGTTAGCTTACCCACGTGTCAACTTCTTTATCTATAATAACAAACATTTTCTAATGCAGGGATGCACATGTGTGTTTTTTGAAAATATTTTTCTTTTCAAAAGCATTTAGAAATTTTTTTAAGAATTTTTTTTCTTTCTTTTCAAGTTTGGAACTATAATGTGGTAAAGGAGCAGCTTCCTCCTGTATTTTGTAAGATTAGTTAGAGTTGCTTGTTTCACCCCTGAAGTGTGAACATACATCTGTGGTAGTTCTGAAGACAGTTCCTGCTGGGGACAGGTCATCAAACATGGGGACAGTCCCTGTCTTTTAGGGACAGTCTGGTCACTTCTCCTGCCATGGTGCCAGATCTCACTAATGCTTTCTTTTTCCTGTGGTTCAAATCTAGAAAGCTTTTTTGGAGAAACAAAGAACGAACTAAATACCATTTGGTAGTATTAACAGGGCTAAAAGGGATTTACAGCAATGAATAAATAATAAAAGAATTATTAAATTTCCACTGTGTACTTGGACCAGTTAGTATTTTACCTGAGAGGGTCGTAATGGAAACTCTGTCTGTGTGGAAACGGGGATTGTTTTGACTGGATTCTGATGTAGACGACTGGAATGACTTGAACTGTAATGCTTTCACCAGACAGAGTTTTATTCTGGTTTCAAACGTCTGCAAAGACAGTTACAGTGAGTGGCCGACGGTGTCCTGAGTGAAGTGCTCACCCTGTAATTGGAAGTTTGCAGGTTCAAGCCCCGCTCAATCTGTCGCTGTCATTGTGTCCTTGGGCAAGACACTTACCCCACATGCCTGCTGGTGGCATTCGGAGGGACCGGTGCACCTGTGCACAGCAGACTCGCCTCTTAGTGTAACGCCTGTGCTATAAATGTTTGTGTTTGCCTAACAAGAAATAAACTGCACAACCTGAATAACAGCTGCTGAATTATTATTCTAGGGGTGTTTACAGAATTAACATTTTCCTTCTGCTTGTTTCCCTCTGTGATGACTTCACTGGCATCCATTTGGCCAACCATCATTGGAACGACTGTGCTCCAACCTTCCTGGGTAACGGTTGTCCCTCAGAAGGACCCCGTGTGAGCCGTTCCTCCCTCCATCCAATCGGAGCGCTCAATTCGGACACAGTCGCAGTCTTTTTAAGACATGGTGTCACCTGGAAAATATGGTGGTGGATTTGGTAACAGCACGTGGCAAAACCAGAAACACACATGCATAAGCCCTTTGAATACAGTCATTCATGGTTTAACACTAAGTGCTTGTACACAGTGTTGTTTACTTTAACTCCAGGATCATGAAAAGTTGCTGGAGGGTTGATCATCTCAAACCATACCCTTAACCGGCATCCAGAGGATCAGTTAAAAGCATATTTTTATGCTTTTTTTTGTTGTTGTTATTTTATCACAACTGAAAATCTGTTTTCTCTGAGCTGCAGCTGAACTCCAATTCCTCCTCCCTGGATTGTCTGCATGCTGAGATCTGGACGCTGCCCCTGACTGGAGCGGATGAAAGCAGATCTGTGTGCAGACATGATTTAGCTTTCAGATTTTACGTTTAAGCCTGGCCCTAAACTTTAACTTAAAGATCTATATTTTTACCATGTTTGCAGTGGTCTCTAGTAGGAATTATTGCTGGGAAAAAAGCTCTTGTGTGCCTGTTTGAGAACGGAGAAGTCAGCTGGAGGAGAAGGTAGCAGAGCACGAGAGGATATGGAGTTTTGTTTCCTGATATTTGAATATCTTGCCTCTGATTTGATAACAGAAACGCAACTCTACCACTGACCTTGCTTTTGTGCAACATTGATGTTTTATCTCCACATAATAATACAAACCTCAGGGAGTTCTGCTGTGTGGTGGAGTTGCTAATGCTAACGGTTAGCTTCTACTAGCCGAGACGTTCTCTGCTGTTTCCTGGATGCTAAACCAACAACTGCCTTCACTGTCGCGAGTCAAGATGGGTGAGTCCATGAACGTTAAGTGACAGTGTGATGTAGATCTGTCAGGCTTTTCAAATCCTAGCTTTTCACTATTTTCTATCAGCAGCTAATGCAGGACATAGGTGTAGGACATAGGTGTAGGAGACTATTTTGCTGTTCAGCCTGCATTAAAGCCTGCATTATGACCGATTCGAATCAGAAATAATTGTTACAAAATAGTTTTTCTGAAGTTGACCTTTAAGAGTCGAAGGGATGCTTCACATTAAAACATGCACTCACAAAGGTATGAGCACATGTGTGCCACAGCCTGAGTGCACCAGGCAGCAGACAACCAGATCCAGCCCTGTTGGGGAAACCACTGGCAACTCTTTTATGCACGAATTAGAATAGATGAATTCATTGTTGCCAGAATAAAGTTTACATTTGTAAAGCGCTTCACCTGGATCCATGTAGCTTGTTTGAATGAAAAAAAAAATAGGTGTGATTGTTAGAGGACCCAAAGGTGCAGACTCAAGATCAGAGGCAATTAATGCTGTTTACTTCGGTGAAAAGTTTTATAACCCTTAAGATAGAGATCACCTTCTGGAGCTGATCAAACTTTCTGTTGGACACGTGGCCTGAAGGACATTTTAGGCATCAGATTTGATGAAAAAGACAAAAGAATGAGTTTTATGTAACAGTGGCTGTTCCAGTAGATACAGCCTCCAAAGCTGTTGATGACCTTTCTTAGAAAGTTTTTGTTTATATGAAAGCTTTTTAAACAAAAAGCTAAACTTTTTTCCTTTTGTCATGTCAAACTGTGAATTAGGTGTATTATTACACCCCTATTGTGTACACAAGACGAACTTGTTGTAGGAAAATAGATTTTTGTTCATTAACTGGCTTTGGTCACATGTATTTAAATGCATCATTTAAAACCTGGCTGACACCGTAGGATAATTGTGGCCATTTTTGACCAGCCCTGACCTTCCTAGCAACCTAAATGTTAAATCCCATCACCATAACAGTTCTAAAGATGATCTAATCATTTAATCTTAGCTCTGTTGGTCTGTTATGAGAGCTGTGTCCATTGTGATCATAAATCAGGGCATTCGAACATGCTGGATTGTCTTGGTTTGATTTTCGGTGACAAACGAGGGTGCTGCCTGTTGAATGTGACCTTTAGCCAATTAAAAATAAAGGTGATGGAAGCACCCAGCACACACTCCTCCTCCGCCATGTTTGTTTACTTCAAAGTCAGGTTTTCCTAGTGATTTTAACGTCCGAGCGGGGAATGTCCACGAGTGAAAGCGATTCACATGTATTTGTTGCCAAGTTTCTGAACACCACCAGCTTCTCATGTTTTGAAAATGGGCTAAAATGAAAAATCCTGTCATGGGAACCAGTAAAGGAACATAGCCAGACTCAGACTCTGCAGATCTTTGCTTCTGACCCTCAGCTCTTGAGTTAACAGAGAAGTGAATGCCTTTTTAAAAAGTGTTCATTACAAAATACAAGCTATAACTGGTGCTGAGTACGCATTTCATCAAATGGTTGCTTGTTTTATTCCCAATTTATAATCCTAGGCATCAGCTGTTTAGAGTTTCATACATGCTTTCCTACTGAGTGAGGGGCACTCGTGAAAAAGCTGCTGAACTTTTGAACAGATGATTCCGTAAATTCAGAAAAGAAAGTTTGCCACTGTTCCTGTTCAGTAATAAAACACAGATGTTCAGCCCAGATGTGGACGGGTTCGCTGAATAATACGAGAAAGTATGTGATACTTTCATACTTTACCATTCTTTGAAGGTTCTCCTTCATGAAAATGCCATTTTTCTTGTTTGGATGTGAAAAGGACAACATGAATCAAAGCCGTTCGCCCTGATTTCAAACTTTATTGTCAAGTAAAGTTTACAAAAGATGAGTTGAACAACAAAGTCAGAACTTCAGTCAAGGTTTTCTTTCCTGTGTAGCACCATTTGGAGTTTGGAGGGGTACACGCAGTACTTTTTATTCTCTACCCCCAGAGGGTGGAGTCAAATGTAAATATTTTGAAGCACTCGCAGGCAGTAAACCCAGTCGGGGGGGAGCTGGTGGTAGGTTATTTTGTTTCCGTCCAACCTTAAGATCTTCATCCTGGAGTAGGACTGGGGTCCAACGTCTCTGCACAAACTGGTCACGTTGAACTCTGAAGAGGACAGACCAAATGAATTAGGATTAAAAAAAACAAACACATGACCTTCAGAGACCTGCTGTGCTGAAACGAGTCCAGAAACATCTTGTTGTAAAATACGTGTAGAGAACAGCTTGGTTGTTTGTACATAGAGTCTGCATTTACGATTTGAACAGGTAGTGGAAGATGAAATTATGGAAGTTCCTCTCATCCCAGCCTGTTGGCAGCAACAGCGAGGAAATGCAGCAGCTCCTACGTTAATGGCTAAATGGTAAATGGCCTGTATTTGATATAGCGCCGTCTAGAGTCCTGGAACCCCCCAAGGCGCTTTACAACACAATCAGTCATTCACCCATTCACACACACATTCACACACTGGTGGGAATGAGCTACAATGTAGCCACAGCTGCCCTGGGGCGCACTGACAAAGGCGAGGCTGCCGAGCACTGGCGCCACCGTTCCCTCCTAGACAGCGAGATGTGTCTTCCTCGTTAGCCCAACGCTCAGTCTGCTGCTGCTGAAAACATGAACCACAACTGAACCCGTCACTCTTGGTCACATGACTCACCACTTTGACTGAAATGGTGAGTCAGCATAATATGTTAATGACTTCAGCTAAAGAAAGAGACAGACAATGTGACTGAAGGCATGAACAGCATGTGCTTCTGGGTCTTCTGGCAGTCTCACGTCGGAATCCATCCCAGATGTTTCAAACAACTCTCCCTGGTCCTTTGCTATGTTTCATTCCAACCAACTCGTATTCCACCCATTTTCTCTCTCTTTCATCCGGTTATCTCTCTTTTTGTCACTCCCTTTACCACCCAACACAAATTCTCACCACATCCACACACAGACATCCACGTTCAAACAGGCTCATCACCTTGGATCTGATTGGCCTCCAGGTAGAGGTAGAGCAGTGTGGTGGGCACGGTGGGAATGCTGGTCAGTTTGTTATAAGACAGGTCCAGCTCCACCAGGCTGGATAAGTTAAAGGCATGAGGATGGATGCTGCGGCTCTTCAGGCCACAGTGGCTGAGACGTAGATACTTCAGGTTGGTAAAACCCACAAAACTGTCCTGGTCCAGCCCAGAGAGAGAGTTCTTAGACAGGTAGAGCTGCTGGATGGAAGGAGGTAAATGTCTGGGAAGGATGGAAAACAAATTTCCACTCAGGTCCAAAAGGTTCAGACTGAACAAACCTAAAAGAAGACAAGAAGTCATTGAAATTATTAACGCAGCAACATGTCTGAAAAGCTCTTCTTTGGGTTCATGATAGTTTTCAGCTCACCTGCGTTTTAAAACGGTTTCATGTTTGAGCATCGTTGTTGCGTTCATTCTTGCTTCTCTGAATCCATATTTATTGGTTCAGAGTAGGAGAGATTGTTTTTACGTTCTTGCTAAAGTTTTGGCTCCTGCTGTCGCCTTCATCAGAGCATCACTGATGTTGGTGGCGTCACTTCTGTCTCAGTTTATCTGTAGGCAGTAGAGGGCGAAGTCGCCCTCTACTGCCCAGTTCTTTCTTGTTGATCACCATGCCCCTTGATCGGTCCAATAGAATTCCCAGTCCCTGTTCACGGTCCTGGGTCCACGTCTCTTTATTTCAGTTGCTTCCTTTATCTATCTTTTTTATTTCAGTTGTTCTATGTTTATGATCTGTTTGCTGTCCCAGTCCATTATATGATTTTTATGGCTGATTTTTTATGTACTTTCTTAGGTTTTAGCATGAACGTGTCTAATTACTGAGAAACCTGCTTCTGACCAACATGTTTGATGTGACTCTTGGAGTTTCTGCTCCGTTTCGTATCAGACTCCACGCCGTGGCACAAAATAACGACTCTGAGAAACATCATAAAGTCTGTCAGAGTCTCCCTTTAAGCCACGAGTCCTTATTCTGACAGCCTATTTTCTCCACCGTGATCATCAGTCCTCCTGGTGCTTCTGTTTGGGTGATTCGGGTGCTCTCTCCATGCGCTCTGGTCCTGCGTTAAAGTCCCACTTCCATTTGATTGACACAACCAGGCAGCTTTCTCCACACAGTTTATGCAAGATGTAAACTCAACACGAGAGAATGTCAATTATGCGGGACATAAGTCTCAATTTGCGGGACATGACAAAAGTAATGAATGGGTCTGGTCACCCTACCTTTGCTGCCTGCTGATAAACGAAGACGAGAGTGATGCCAGCAACATCGGTGGCTCTCTGACGAAGGCAACAGCGTTGCTAAAACTGTCAGCAAGAAGATCTTAGGTATGTTCTTGCTGTGTCTTTCTAAATCCATTCTTTCATTCTTTTTTAAACACAGAAACAGCTACAAACAGGTAAACAAAACTGTTTCTGTGTTTAAAAAAGAACGAAAGAATGGGTGTCAGCAAGAAGGTTTAAACAATCTCTTACTCTGTGTATAAAAAACTACCAAAAAATATAGGTTTCATGTTTGCTTGAGCAACTTAAATTTGCATGTGAAAACTGTTAAATGAATCATTTTAACTGGCACGACTACAGCAGAATCGTGCAAGGGCGAATCTGATTTGTTTTTTACAATAAAAGCAACTAAACATTAATTTAGTGGCTTTTAGTAAGCAGCTCACTTCCTAGTGAACTCCAGGGGAACTTCTCACTTCCAGAGAGCTTTTATTTGGTGTTTAATCAGATTTTTCCTCAGATAATGACAGATTATCAATTTATGAAATATTATTTTGAAATATTAGTGTTTCTAAATTAAATGTTTTGGAGCTGGGTGGTTGACATTTTCTCCTGAGGACAAAGAGTCTCAGGAGGCCAAAAAATTTTGTTAATCAGCAAAAACAAATAATTATTGTTCTTAAAATGATGATTAAAGTTATAATTAATGTCTTTGGGAGATAGATTCTGCAGAGAAACTAATTGTTTCTTATTTATTAGACATCAAGACGACAAGACATAGAAACGTCTCATCACAACATTATCCTTTATAAAGTGTCTCAACTGTTTTATTCTCGAGAATTTTCAAATTATAACTATCATTTTATAATGTTTTCATTCACATACCATGGTTATTTCAGAACTAATCTCCATTTCTCTATACTGAGGTTGTTCCGTGAGTTATCTGATAAGATCAACATTGTTTCCTCATTTTTCACACAGAAACCACCTCAAAAATCTGTTTTATTTGTATTTATCCAGAACATTAGGCTTTGTACTAATCCCGTGAAACAAATGTAATTAAAGAGCAAGTCACCCCTTACAAGAAGCGTACTTCACTCCCATTTCATGTTTGAAAAATGCAACAAATGCTGTTGCCTAGCAGACCGAGAGGGTGGAGCCACCAACAAATACACACACTCACGACATTGTGACATCATAATGTACCAGTTTACATCATAGCATACCTCTTAGCCAATAGCGGTGGCAGATTTAAATTCAAATGCAGTGAAGAGTTTTTACCTGACAACGGCACAACACTGCCAGTTTCAGGCAGAAAATTTAAATTTTAACTAAAATGCACTAAAGTGCAAAACTATTGACTACACGTGTCTGCAGCACGATTAGACACGCATTTATATAGTTTATCAGAAAAAAATTGTTGATTTGAGGGTGACTTGCTCTTTAATGTTACTGACCAACCCGTTTTCCCGTTTAAATTAAAGCATTTAACTATGGGACCTTGTTTACTGGAACATTTAGCCAAATTAAACAATTTCTGAATGGTTATACAGAAAAAGATGATAATTTATTTGGTGCTGTATATTTCTTAACCAATGATTCCCAGTTTAAAGCTTTTATATTTTGTTTGTTAATTTTTATGGTTGCTGCTTAAATTGTGACAAACATGTGGACAAAGTTCATATTAGGGATGCTAGATGCTGGCTTTTTTAGCGAAATCCGATTTACCGATATTGTGTCACTCTATTTCTGACACCGATTTGGCTCTTTACTCTGTGGGATCATTTTTTGTGCCAAAGAAAATTAACAGCATAATACATCTAAATGTTGTTGTTCTTTATTTTCATTCTTCCAGATGTTCCAGGTCGATTCTGCATGTCTAAATAAAAAAGGAAATGATTCATTACACGACCTTTGAGGTCACCATCTGTGACGATCTTCAGTCTGTTTCCTTGCAGCAGAAGCAGCGTCAGACTACGCAGGTGCTGGAAGGCGCCAGGGCTGATGCTGCTGATCTGGTTGTGGGCCAGGCGCAGCTGTTGTAGTCCAGCTGGTAGAGCGCCAGGGACTGAAGTCAGCTGGTTATGATTGGCAAAAAGGTAGCGTAGCTGGGTTTGGTTCTGCAGAGCAGCCTGTTCCAGAGTTTCGCTCTGCAGCTGGTTGCTGTCGATGATGATCCAGCGTAGACCAGTGATGTTGGCCAGACTGGAGGAGGACAGGGATGAGATGTTGTTACCCTGGAAAAAGAAAATAAATGGAATAGAAGAAAAAATAATAATAAAACAATCAGCATTTGCAGTTTTTTTTACCTGTAAAAACAAGTACTCAGTTCTCTCTGGCAGCCCTTCAGGAATGCCTTTTAGTCCCTGGTGGTCACAGTAGAGGGATGTGGGCCACTGGATGGGACATTCACACTCAGCAGGGCAGCTCTGGGGGTTGTTAGCTCGGAACCAGCCAGGGTCAATCCGCCCCTGCAGACTCAGAACACTGGGCTCACCCAGCAGCCGGTTAATCCACAGAGGAATGCCTCCATAATCCATGTCAGTGACAGCGTCTGAAGTGTCCTGGACAGCTCCAGAAACACACAGCAACACCAACATGCCACCGAGCAGGAGCGCCATTGAGACAGCTGGTGAGAAACAACCCTGTTGATCAACGAGACAAGCTCAGACTTTGGTCCATTCTGTTAAAGCTGCATTGTTCCTACGGTGCTGTATGTTTATTTGGTAAATGATAAATGGGCCTGTGAGTATAGAAAAAACTCACCTTCTTTGAGAGATTTGAATATTTTTTCTTTTATATCTTTAAATGAAAACAGAAACTAAATATCTTTGCTAGCTGTACTTATCCAATCCCACATATAATATCTAACTGAAAAATAGCATAATTATTGTACAGAAACATTTTCATCAATTAAAAATCAAGTAAACCTTAGAGGATCAGTCCCCAATGGCTGCTGTTTGTTGAACCACCTTTTGCTTTAAAAACAGCATTGAGTCCGTTAGGATAGTTCTCTACCAATTTGCACTTCTCGATTGAACAATATTTGCCTTCTCTTCTTTACAGAACTGCTCAAGTTGGGCTAAATTGGATGGCAAACACTGGTCACTGGATGGGATGTAGATCTGGGCTCTGACTGTGAGGCCACTGTGTGGTCAAATTTGTTGTGTGCTTCAGAAAGTCGTCATGGTAAAAAGTTAATCTGCCCATCTTCAGCTTCCTCGCAGGTTTTCTTCAAGAGTTTAATATTTAGCCCCATTCATTCTTCCTTGTACCCCAATGAGAGTCCCAGTACCTGAGGACGAGAAACACGTCAACATGCTGCCATCTCCATGCTTTACTGTAGGTGTGGTGTGTTGTGGTGTACCGTTATTAATCTCCAGCGTTTGTCTACATTGTGATCACAGATGGATGATGTGATCTGTTTGCACTGTGCCACTTTTTATGCTGGTGGCAACACCAGCTGTCTGTAAGGATTGGGTCTCTCACACCGCCAATGTGGGTGGTGTGGGAGTGTAGTGTAGTGATGCGGAAGAACAAGCGTTGGGGGCTGCGGCCATGCAGTTAATCTAGGAGCAACGGCACCGAACCCAAGTGTAAACTGGAATGCGGCGTTGTTCCGAAAAGTAAGGAATTGACTTACTTTGAAATGAGGCGAAATGCCTGAAGAACTGGGAAGCTCGAATAAACAGCTGATAGGCTGGTGGGATGAGCTGGATAGCTCGGATCTCTGACATAGATTCCTATATCGATGACTGAGTGAGTATGTGGTTTGTCCTTCCTCCTTTTATCAATGACGGTGATGACGTGGGGGGAAAGCAGTGTGATGGGAAGTGAAGTTCTAGGCTGAGGATTTGTAGGTAGGGAACTAAGTGGAAGATGAAGACTGAGAGGAAGACTGAAGGATGTGACAAGAGCCCACTTAATGGCCAACAACTCCCATTCTCCAACCCCGCACCTCTGCGGGAGTGAACTTGTGGGAGAAAAAACAGCAGGGATGGAGCTTGTTGTCCGGGCCTTGTTGGGAGAGGATGGCGCCTGCCCCCATGTCTGAGGCATCCACTTCCACCGTAAAAGGTTTCTGGGTATCTGGACGGAGGAGAATAGGGGCCGTGGTGAACAGATGGGCAAGGTGACGAAAAGCCCCATCGGCCTCGGGAGTGAGTCGGAAGGGCCTATGCTGGCTCTTGGCTTTGGTGAGAGTGGTGAGAGGTGCCGCAATGGTACTGTAGTTCCAAATTAATCTCCTATAAAAATTTGCAAATCCCTAAAAGCTCTGGAGTTGTTCGAGGTTGGTGGGTGGCAGCCAACGTGAGACAGCTTGGACCTTTAGCGGATCCGTGGAGAGGCCCCCCGAAGAGATAGTAAATCCCAGGAAGGAGATGGTGGATTGGTGAAAGGCACACTTCTCCAATTTACAAAACAGGTTATTCTCCAGGAGTCGGGAGAGAATGGCTCGTACGTGATGGACGTGGTCTTCCATGGTGGAAGAGTAAATGAGGATATCATCCAGGTATGCGAAGACCCATCGACCCAGCATGTCCCGTAGGACGTCATTTATGAGGCGTTGGAACACGTCCGGGCTGTTGCAGAGGCCGACGGGGATAACGAGGTACTCCCAGTGACCTGTGGGGGTCATGAAAGCCGTCTTCCACTTCTCCCCTTCCTTGATACGGACCAGGTGATACGCGTTTTGGAGGTCTAGCTTGGTGCAAAGGGCGGATTGTGCGAGGGAGTCCAGGGCTGTGTTCATTCTTCTTCCGACTCTTGGAGAGTACAGACGCTCTTTTCCTCCTCTCCTCCCTATCTTATTCCAAGGCTCTTTGTCTGTCTCTGGGTGTATGGCGATTCTGCATTTCTTTCTGGAAAACTGGAAACTGAAATTACTAAAATGAACCTGGTCAGTTGGTCTCTCAACGCGATTGACAACATTTTTTCAGCGATGAGAACGGGAGAAGGGGCTCCCGGGTGCCCTTGTGGGTCAGAGCCAGTTGGGCATATGATGGACTCCTGGAAACAGTGGAACTTGGTCTGCCTGTCTCAGCTGTCTGTAGAGGATTCTGAAGACGTCTGGATATTTGTGGTGTTGGTGTCAGGTTTCCTGCTCTTTGGCCTGGGAGGTTACCTGGCTTACCGGAAAATTAACGAGCTGTCGAGGAATAGTGGCTCGCTCCCAGAGCTCAGAGATGGATTACACCACGCTGTAAACGCACAGACTCATATAATTGTCGAGATGAGTTGTAAGCTTGGAACTTTGACTGAGTTTCAGACTCTGGCACAGAAGGTGGATTCCATCAAGGAGAAAGTTGGCGGGTCAGCGCGGATTGGGATAGATTAATTACACCATTATTGGATTCAGAGAAGTTGAGGACCAACAGAACTTTAAGACAGAGAGGAAATTATCTCTGTCTGGCCCCAAAACTATTTCTTATCTGAATCTAGTGCTCTTGAGCCTGTGAGGCTGAAGCAAATACTCCCCCCTCAGAAGAAATGTGGAATGCTGCCGTCGCCATGGCAACTCTGTCTTCCTAACCCAGCCTGGGTGGGACTGCAACCTGAGAAGGCCGCTGAATCGTTCCAGGAGTCACTGTGCTCTCTAAATCCTGCGGCCTCCCAGCTCTGCTCTCGACCGGACAGAGAGAAAATAAGCAGCCCCTGGGAGGTGTAGTGCCTGGAAGGAGCTTTATCTCAATGTCATACGGTTGTCGGGGTGGAAGGGCCCCTGCCCGTCCCTTGTCAGACAGCTGCCAGGTCCCGATGGGGTGGAGGAATGGCATAGGAAATTGATGTAGAAGGAGTGGTAGGAAATGCATCGGGTAATGGCCGGTGAAAAAAACAGTTAGGCCCCCATCCTAAAAGCCGACCGGTGGACCAGGAAATGTTGGGGTCGTGAATGGACAGTCAGGGAAGGCCCAGGATGAGCGGCGTGCTAGCGGCCATCACAAGGAGGAACCGAATGCTCTCCTGATGGTTTCCCACACTCATTCGAAGAGGCGGGGTTCAATGGCATATGGGGAATGGCATGAGCGGCCTCCCATCAACTGAGGTGACAGGAACTGGATGATCCAGTCTAATTGTAGGGATCCGTAAATGGGTGGCACATCCCGGTTTATGAAGTGGCCCGAGGCTCCTGAAGCCAGTAGGGCCTTGAGTGTGGCGGTCTCTGGGTCCAGATGTAAGGGGAAGGACAGTAGGAAATTCTTGGCCAGGGAGTCGGAGAGCAACGGGTCAGGCTGAATGCTCTCTATATTCACCTGGCCTAATCTTTTACCGCTCTGGCAGGACACTGGGGCAGGCTATGACTGGCGGAGCCACAATAGGTGCACAGGCCCTCCTTGCGATGTTGTGCTTTCTCAGCCAGGGGAAGATGGCCCAGCTGCATGGGTTCCTCACGTTTGCTGGGAAAGGCCGGAGCTGGCTGACCTGGGCCCATGAAACAGGGAGGCGTAGTGAGTCTTTGGGAACGGGGCTGGGTTAGGAGCCGGTGGTCAATGCGGAGGGCCAAATCCACCACCTCATCTAGTGTGTGAGGCAATTCACGGCCCACCATCTCGTCCTGGACTTAACTGGCCAGTCCCTCCGTGAACACTGTTCTTAAAGCAGAGTCACCATAAGAGATCTTGGCTGCCGCGGTGCCAAACTCCGAGACAAAGCTGCAGATAGGTCAATCTCCTTGACGTAATCTGAGGACGGGTCTCCGCTCCTACCTCACTGCTCGGAGGAACAAAGGTCTTGCGCAGTTCCCTCACGAAAGCAGAATAATCCTGGCAGGCGGGAGCCTTGTGGTTATACAGGGCTGCGGCCCATTCCAGGGCTCGTCCAGACAACAGGGAGATGAGGAGGGCAACTCGGTCCTGGGCAGTGGCATATTTGGTGGGCTCAAACAGCATGCCTAAGGTGGCCAGGAGTCCATCGGGGCTTTCTTCCTTCACCGTTCCAGCGTACGGGAAGCCCAAACTGGGGTTTCTCTCGGGCCCTGGGCCCCTCTCTCTGAAGCACAATGACGGAGGTTGAGAGTTGCATAAGCAAATTCGACATGGCCTCCATCTTGGTGTTTTGCCGGTCCACTACAGAGTGGAGCTATGTAACCTCGGTGCAGAGGCGCTCGAATTCCGCTGGGTCCATGGTAGACTCAGTCATCCTATAACGATCGTGTCTCTCACACCGCCGATGTGGGTGGTGTGGGAGTGTAGCATGGTTGGAAGAACCCAGACGTGGAAGAATGAGCGTTGGGGGCTGCGACCACGCAGTTAATCTAGGAGCAATGGCGCCGAACCCGAGTGTAAATGTGAACACGGCGTTGTTCCGAAAAGTAAGGAATTTACCTACTTTGAGCTGAGGTGAAATGCCTGAAGAGCTGGGAAGCTCAAATAAACAGCTGGTAGGCTGGCAGGATGAGCTGGATAGCTTGGATCTCTGACATAGATTCCTAAATCGATGACTGAGTGAGCATGCGGTTTGTACTTCCACCTTTTATCAATGACGGTGATGACGTGGGGGAAAAACGGTGAGAGGGAGATGATGGGAAGTGAAGTTCTAGCCTGAGGATTTGTAGGTAGGGAACTAAGTGGAAGATGAAGACTGAGAGGATGTGACACTGTCACACTCTGCCTACTCCAATAAAAGGGTGGAGGATGATATGAAAATCAGGCCAAAGCTAACATACAGCAGCATTTGAGCTACTTTCCTGTTGTGTCCAATTGTGAGACGATGAACGATCTTAAAAGCTCCGAGGCTTATCAGTACCTACATAGTAATGAGGTTGTTCATGTTTTATGTGTTCATGTTCATGTCTCTCTGGTTTTATATACAGTGGGAGCAGTGCAGGGGCAGTAGAGGAGTGGAATTTTGGACCCGAACCGAACAGACAGAGAGGCGCATCTGGTTGTTTCATTGTATATGTGGTGCTGCTTTGGCCGTAATCAGAGTTGGGTGTTATAGCAGTGTTTTTGAGAGGAAATACATTCAGGCAGCTCATTCTGGTTAATCAGTTAAGGGAAACCTAATAAAAACACCTGAAAACAATTCATGCATGTTTCAAACATTGCTCTTGTTGTCACAATTTAACTTTCTCCGATTGACAACCGTGAACAGCCCAACATGTTCCCAAGCCAGGCAAGTACATTTTTCAGGGGCAGTTTTTAAAACTTTCTCAAAATTCTCTTAAATTGCCACGAGAAATTAAATGTCGACGTGCAAATCAACGGCTATGCCAGATGTAGCTCGCATAATCGTTTCCGCATGAGCTGGCCTAGGAATAAGGTAGATGGGTTGCACTGGTTGAGTGAAGCTGGTTTTCTTTCTGGCTCTTGGCGGGTGCAGATGCTTTTTTTCCCTCCTCTCCTCCATATCTTATCCTCAAGGCCTTTGTCTGTCTCTGTGTGCTGGGTGCACGGCTGCTTCTGCATTTTTCTGGAAACTGGAAACTGAAATACATTTAAATGGATCTCATTAGCTGGTCTCTCAATGTGATTGATAAAAAAAATTTCAACGATGAGAATGGGAGAAAGGGCCCCCGGATGTCTTGCCGGTACAGACCCAGTTGGACACATCATGGACTACCGGAAACAGTGGAACTTTATTTGTTCATCTCAGCTGTCTGTGGAGGACTCTGAAGACGTGTGGATATTCATGGTGTGGTGTCAGGTTTCCTGCTCATTGGCCTTGGAGGCTACCTGGCTTACCGGAAAATTAACGAGCTGTCGAGGAATATTGGCCTGATCCTGGAGCTCAGAGATGGTTTGCACCGCGCTGTGAATTCACAGACTCAAATAATTGTCGAGATGAATCGTAAAGCCTGGTTTATGCTTCTCCGTCAGCTCCGCAAGGGACAGACACGCACGGATTGACGGAAGCATTTTGCTCTCATACTTCTCCGTCTCCTGGAGAGTGTTGCAAAGCAATTCCCCGGCAGGACAACAGAGGGCGTAGCGCTGTTCTGTGGTATCCTGTCATGTATCGGTCCAGGATCGTGTGTTTATATTGTGTTTTTTGTGTATATAAGAGACTTTTAACACGGACATATTTGTCACTCATTCTCCCACCGCTTCATGCGCTCCCCACCTCTAAACCCATGTTTCCTGTCATTTCCGACCACAAATAAAACGCTTGCTGCGCATCTTTTCACTCTTCCAGTCACAGGAGGATGAAACGTTCATATTTTTAGAGTTTTTTCACGATATATTCTTCAAGCTTCTCCGTGTCTGCTGCTAGTTAAACTCGGCTCTCTTTTCAATGGCGGTGCTGTAAACAACAGCGGCGTCCTGACCAATCACAAGCTTGCGTAATCCGTCTCGTTCGACGGATGTTTAAAAAAGTGGGCTCGACTCCGTACGTACTTGCGTGCCTGCCGGAGCCCTACGCAAGGACGGATAATGGCGTTGCGTGTGCTCCTCACTGACGCAGACGGAGAAGCATAAATCAGGCTTAAGCTTGGGACTTTGGCGGAGATTCATTATTTGGCACAAAAGATGGATGCCATCAAGGAGAGAGTGGACGAATCAGCACGGATTGGGATAGATTAACGTCCATTATTATTGGGATTCTGAGAGGTTGAGGACCAACAAACTGTAAGACAGAGAGGAAATTATCTCTGTCTGGCCCCAAAACAATTTCTAATCGGAATCTGGCGTCCTTGAGCCTGCAAGGCTCCAACGAAAACTCCCCCCTCAGAAGATATGTGGAATGTGCCGTTGCTATGGCAACTAAACTCTGCCCCCTTTCCCAGCCTGAGCGGGACAGCGGAAAGGCCGCCGAAGCGTCCAGGGTCACTGCAACCCTCCAACCCTAAACCCCCCCCCCCCCCTCCACACTGAGGTGACATGCGCTGCTTCATTGTGGCTGCAGGAGTTGAAGTTGGGATAGTCCCAACCTACCACCCCTCCTAGTGGACACTTATGTTGTGTTGTCTGAAGTCTTTTGCATATCTCTGTCTGAGGTGTTGTTTTTTTTTGCAGAGCAAAGCTGCCCTCCTGGTGGGAGGGTAACTCTGAAGTGCCTTTTTTCCTCTCCACCTGAACCAACCCTCATATAACCCTCTTATCTCTGTTAAGGTAGCGCGACTCAGGGTTGCGAATGACCACAGTCACCAATTCTTGTCATGTGTCTTGCCCATGTATGTCTGATCTCTGAACTGTGTGTACTGAAACTCTAATTTCCCTCTGGGATTAATAAAGTGTCTTTGATTTGATTTGATTTGATTTCAAATATATATTTGTTTGTTTTCATTTAAGGCTGTAAACCTAAACTATTGAAGTCTTTCAAAGAGTGGTTATTTATTTTCCATACCTCCTATATATAGTACTTTCCAGAGCCCTACAACCCCCCAAGGTGCTTTACAACATACCAGGCATCATAGATGGGGAGTAGTGGCATCAACAAGTCATTTCCATTCTGTGTTTTTCTTCAGTTCAGCAAATAAACCAGGTGATGTCAACCAGCACAGTGCATGAACCTGGTTCAGTTGTTGAGCAGAACAAAATCGCAGCATGGAGTTAAATTGTTGATGCCACAATTCCCATCTCTGCCAGTCATTCACCCATTCACACATCATCCACCCATTCACACGTCATTCACCCATTCACACACTGATGGTGTTGAGCTACAATGTAGCCTCAGCTGCTCTGGGATACAATGGCAGAAGCAAGGCTGCTGCATACGGACACCGCTGGTCTGTGGTGTCGCAGGTACCATGCCCAAGGACACAAGGACTGAGCGGGGCACAAACCTGCAACCTGCTACAACTCACTAATGTTGAAATTATAATACAGGGGTGTTTCTGTACAATGCTTTACAAGGATTCACCACAAATTCAGCAACTTGACACATATAAGTGAGTTTAAATCCAGCTTGATTTAACATCAAAAAGGCCATCTGAAGCTTCAAATAAAAGCAGGCATGAGGAAGATGTGGCTCTGCGTCATGAGCTCAGGTGAACTCCACATTTCTTTGCATTTCATTCCTGTCTGAATGCATGGTTACAGTAACATCCTCACAAAGCTGTTCCGAGTAAATGTGCATGCTTACACGCACACACACATGTTCAGCCATTTTACGTCACACAACAGTTAGCAGAAAAAAGGTCTGAATCATCAGGAAGTGTTGCTTGATCAACTTGTTTATATTACATCACTTTTGATCACTGCAGCTGCAGCGAGTCACATGCCCAAGAGATTACCGCTCTAAAAACGAGTAGATCACAAGTGACCATTTCCAGCTTTGCCTGCCGTGCACGAAGGGGAAACAGATGCAGACAAGAAACAAGCATCAAACTGACACTTACCTGTCTGATCAGCAGCTACAGAAAGGAGACAGCTTGTTTTAAGACCTCAATGAAGCCCTTTGGTGGTGCAGAACCGTGAATCTGTGTGAGTGTGTGTTTTCAAGCTGCCACTGATATTTGCCCACTGTCTTACACATTCCTCCTTTTTCAAACACTGCCCACAGCCCAAACGCCAGACCTCCTCCATAATCTACACTCTCTTATATCCACTGTTACTTCTCTTGCATCTCATAGTATCAGTTTAACACACGTCACTTAGTGGAAGTATGTCTGCTTGTTCTGTGAGATGTGCAAAATCTCCAATGAGTTTAATGAATTTTAATTAGTATGAATAAACTGTTTATTGGGGATTAAGCATGTTTCTCACGCTCCGTGTGTGTGTGAGTGTGCACGTGCATGTGTGTGTGTGTGTGTGTAAACAGGGTTTACAGGGTGTGTGTTTTGCTTGAAGGCATTAAAGCCACCGAGTTCCTGGGGAGCCAAAGAGACCATTCTCTGTGTTTGCGTGTGCGTGTGTGTGTGTGTGTGTGTGTGTGTGTGTGTGTGTGTGTGTGTGTGTCTGTGTGTGTGTGTGTGTGTGTGTGTGTGTGTGTGTTTTGAAGGAAGGAACTTCTTGCTAGCATCTGTGTAAAAGACAGAAAAATGATTCCAGATTTTTTTCACCCCAAACATGTGGAAAGTTCTGTGAGAAAAGAAATAAGCTGAGGAACAAAAATTGCTCCCTCTAGTAAAGCACTACAGAATCACACCCACGATAGGACCTGACAATATGGCTACTAATCTGTGAAAAGCCCATATTGTTACTTCGGTTACTGCCCCTTACCCTGAATTGTCAGGTAAACTTCTGAGATTTAGGATTTTTTAACTGATATTTGTTAAAAATGATTTAATGTGAACGAATAGGAATGTTCAACCACTTGTGGTCTGCAGAATACCATCTCTGAATACATGACAGTTGAACTTTGCCACAGATGGACTTCAGCAAACACCTGGAAGCCATGATTTGGACATGGTCCAGGTTGCTGTTGGTGTAATACTGTCTGGGATTATTTTGTATACCAACTCACACAATAAATGCAATGGTGATGTTAATAAAAATAAAATCTTCAAGGGGAAATTTCCTATCACCTTGTTGAATCTGTCATGAACAATTGAGGGAATTTCAAAGGCAAAACAGGAGTCCAACTTGCTACCGTGATGGTGTAGCCATTAAAGCATTACCATAACTGATTTTTAAACTTGGGTCACAAGTTCAGCAGAGCAATATTTTGGCTCACTGCCACAACGTCTGAGAAGAATCTTCTCACCAAACAGGTTTTAAAACTGGAAGTAAAGCTTACATCCAAAGGTAAGGCTCACTGAGAAAGTGTAATGCATGTTCTTTTTGAGATACACACTCTGAGTTGCATATGCATGCTAAATATGAAAACGTTCTTCAACCCGTATCACCTGCATTAGCCCCAGAAAGGAAATCCACCAGATAACCATTAGGTTAAAAAAGGACAGTCTCTTCTACGTTACTGTATTCATAGTCTCACCCACCTTAGCTTGTGACCGCCAAACACTGATTGGTGTGATTTATTCATCCAGGAGAGAGCAGAGCATGTCTAGGCAAGTTGTAGCTAACTGTTAGCATTAGCACCCCACAACACGATAGAGCACATTCAGACTTGTGTTATATATATATATTTATATATATATCAACATTAGTTGTGTTATATATATATTTATATATATATCAACATTGCATATTTTACCCAAGAAAGAAGCGCGGATAGAGGTAGTGAAAGAGTTGCATCACTGTCAGCCAGTCAAAGGGGAGATATTCCCATAACATTAATATTAATGAGTAAGATCTGTAATTCGGTTGCTTTCAGCTCTCTACTCCTCCAGCAAGCCTTCCTGAAACAGAAGCACCAGACCAATATATTTTTAAGGAGTATCATGCAATTTGTTTCATATTTTTAAATAGTTTTCTTGAGCCAGTATAGGTAAATGAACTTTTACAGTGTTAAAAAAATCACTCAGACCCCCACTGTCCCTTGTGGCCAGATTATTACACTTCCGACTGGCAGGCCGCCACCTGATGGACTTGGAGAAAAAACCTTTTTTTATCAAAAAATAAAATAACGGATGTATTGCCTACATTCATCTACAAAGCCCTCAATATTCTTGCACCCCTCTGTCTAGCTGTGCTTCTTACCCCCTATCTTCTAAACAGATCCTTGAGATGTATTGACAATCACTTGCTGTGCATCTCTAAAAGGAAATACGGATCACACGGTGAGCATGCTTTCACTTTTGCCGCACATCGCCTTTCTGTGCGTCGGGCTCACACTCACTCGCTTTAGATCTACCCTCAAGTCTCATTTCTTTAGAAGTCAGTGTAGATGTGCCAGTCCTGGAGTGATATGGTAATGTCTATTTTTACCTGTGAGGAACCTGTAAACAGCTGAGGGCGACTGCATTTGAAGCTTCAGGAGTACAGAAGATATTAAAGCTGATATTAAAGAACAGCCTGAATATAACCAGTTCATTACAGGACGAACACACAGAACAGCCACTGTGATTGACCAAAGTCCACAAAATGCTTCAAATTAAAGGCGAGTCATATTTTAAATGAAAACTCAAATCTTGTATTCTTTTAAAATGATCTCAATCAACTCTTCTCATTAATTTATGGAGATCTTTGAGTACTTTTCTTTAGACTTATGCTGCCACTCATTTTCTGTTCAGCATCTAAACACTTTAAGATTATCTATTTAATTTTAAACAATCATCAGAGTCCTACATTAAATAAATTAACCAGTAATATGCCTCATAACAGACAGTTGAGCGCAGACCTGATACTTAAATGAGATCTTTGAGGATTTTTGTTGGATATTTTTATAATTGTACCTTTTTGAGGCCTAAAAGATGCCCAATTTGTGTTATTAACACTTCATGAATCTCTGTGTTTGCCAACTGTGGCTGTTCATGAAAGGTTGAGCAGAGAAGCTCGTTTGCATTCAAGGATGTTGATTGTGGATTTCCAGGATGTTGATTGTAGATTTCCAAGGAAACCTCTGTACCTCTGTAACCTGAGAAGGCCCCGCCTTCTCCATCATTTGCTAAATAAAACCCCTGGCTAACTGAGAATACATGGGAGTGACGTGGGGAAGCCTCGGAGGAGTTTCCTCTGCGTTAACGCTCCATTATTTTGGTGACTCAGGGTAAAATGTCTTCCTTGTTGTCATGTGTGTTAATTTCAGGTTTCAGGGTTATGGAGATTAAATATTACCCCACATTTAATTACCTAACATTTTGGTGGAGAATGCGGGCATGCAGAGCTGGTGAGCGGAATGCTTTCCCCAGGAACAGAGGGGGGCTGGTTAGCTCCATGGAGGGGTTTCTGCGCCCAGCTCTCGCATGACAATTCATGGACATTACGAATAATCTACTCTCTCTCTCTGTGTGTCATCCTTTAAGGTAATATGGGATAAATGAAAAATTACCTATCAATTTTGTTACTGATAAATACAGAACTTGTTTGCATTTCTTCAGTTGTAACTATGTAAACTTATCAAAAATAGCAACAATGTTTGACTTTAGCAGAAAATCTGACAAATAGGAGATGATGGCCTCAGTCGGGTTGCATAAAGCACTGATACTCTTTCTTTTTCATCTTTTACTTGTTCACTTTCTCATTTTTAGACAAACAGCATGTCAGGGACTCCTGATGGTGAAGTCTAAAATTCAAAATACCTCTTTTATTACTAATTTAGAAAAAACTGATGTGTCTGGGTCTAAGACCAGGTAAGATCTAAAATTGTGGAAATTTTTGTGGTCAGCAGACTTCAAACTTTAGCATTTTATGTCACTACTTGTCTTTAATGCAACATTTTGTCATATGGTTACATAAATTAATAAAAGAAAACTTTCAAGTCAATGAAATTTTCAAAACTCCATGAAGGCATAAAACTGGCTCTGAACTGCAGATTTTCAGCCTTGTTGCGGTGGGTTTTAAAAACTTGGCTCAGCAGCTCAGTGTGACAAGCAAAAGCCTTGGCTTGTTGCCACAGACTGATAAACATCACACTGAACAGGTGAACTTTTTCAGGAAAACCCAACATCTGCTCATAAAAAATCAACAAAAGTACAGAGTTGTAACTAATAATAGGAAAACATTTTAATTGAGTAGTTTTGAGAGATTTTTGCACTACGTGATGGAGTTAATATTAGCTCCAACGTCAACTTAGCAAAGGATGTAATGAAAAAAAAGCAACACCAACAAACCTAACTAGTCACACAGTCTCTTATTAGAATTCACATGCAGTCAAATATGTTCCTATTTTTACTTTATTCAACAGTCATCAAGATCAGAATAATGATTTCCACTACACTTGTTTTACTGTAAGACACTGAAGGAATTTAAGATTACTTTTCATCTGTCATGACGTTTTATTATGTTGGGTTTAAGAGACTGTGTGAAAAATGTTGCCGTCAAACTGATTAGATTAACCAAAACACAACCTGGAGGTTGTAAAAACGCTAACATTCATCTCAAATTCAATAATTCACCTGCCTGAAAGATGGGAGGATACTTTTATGAATTTTTTCTCTCAAACTAGAATTTTGCTAGTTTTATTTTGAAGTGGAAACTTCCTGAAGGCTTTGAAGAGGTTCTTTAGTGACATTATGTCACGTTAGTGTTGTAAAATAATTTCTTTGAGTTAAAAACATTTCCCTGAAAATTTCTGACTCGTATCTTATGTTTTGGTGCCTAAACCTGTTTATCAGCACTAAAACACAACAAACGGAAAGAGGGCAGACTAACTAAAGTCAGAACAATAACATTAGTGAAAGACAGTGAAGAGAGACGTAGCCTTTGTTCACAATCTGTCCAGCCTCTGTACTTCCTGGTTCCACATCCAATATTATTTGAGTTTGTAGGGTTGTCAAATCAGCACTAATAAATGCTGCTATGCCAGCATTTCTAATTTGTCACTAGAAAAGAGCAGCAGAGTTGTGGAAATAAATGTTAGCCAGAATTATTCCTTGTACCTTTGAGAAGCCACAGCATCTTTCTGTTTGTGTAAAGAAGCCCAGAGGCTAATGTAGAGCTAATATTAAAACTAAGAAGCAAATGGTCAGAT